GAAGTGTTGAAGATGATTCGATCTCCGTTCCGCCCCATGCAAGTGGATAGAATCTGCAACTCGCTCTCCATAGCATTGCGGCTTACAGCTCTTTGTGTACCTCAAGTCTCAGCCGTAGCTATCTAAAAAAACGTCTTTGCAATGACCTGCGTCGGAGACAGCTATGGTGAGGGACAAGTGGGCGTCACGGTAGAGCAAATCACGTACGCCAACAGTGTAAACAGCATGCTTACCAGCCCTCGGATCATGCTTGGTTGCCGTTACCGCTACTTCTGCAGCCATGGCCTTGCAGATATCAGCATCCAGCCAATTTTCTATACGCCTGCTCCGCGAGAATGGCGGTCTGATCAGACATACGAGCTCGGAGTTGAAGTGGTTGACGATTTCGGTCCAACGTGGATAGCGGATGGGACGGACACGGGAGCTGAGGTTCAAGCGATAGGCCAGTATGTGAGGTATAGTAATCCCTTCTGTTCCTTCTGATCCGTAATCATTGTTTTATCATTAGTCATTCAGTACCTTCTCGGTGCCCGTTTCTGCATCGCCTTCACTTCTATGTCACAGGCCGCTTTAATTGCACCTGTTTTCGGGCCACCCATGCAGCATCAAGGGACATTGAGCCCCACCAATATGTCTGCCGCGTGGATCGTTTGGGGCAAAAATTACGTCACTAATTCAACCTTTGTGAGCTTGAATCCGTGGGAAACCATCGAATGAACAGGCACGTTACCCGCTTTCCCGCTTCCGCCGCCATTTGCTAGTTCAGATATCCGGAGCCTGCAAGAAACATGCGCATTGCAATTCTCCGGAGGCAATCCGTAAGTGAAGGAAATTGCATGGCTTGCAGCCAATAGCCTTCGTTACGCTCGAGGGATTCTGACATGACATGACCTGGCAGGAACGCAAACACGGGCGGGTACTGTCATTGGACCGATACAGACTCCGGCTCCATGGATAGAACCCTCTGCTTCTCGGGCGGATTCACCCCAAGAATAGACAGGACTTGGACGACGAACTTCCTGGCTTCGGCGTCGATACGAGTTTACTGCTGGCAGCGATGTGCTTGCAATTTCATGCCCACGAGAGACAACTATACCATCGAAACGTGGATGTCGCCGACAGCCAGCGTTTGGCATTCTGTTGCGACCCATGACCTGACTACCTCAGCAGACGGATTCGTAAATCTGGAAGCCTCGGGATCTCAGACCAGCGAAAGACAAGTACTCCCGCCACAGAACCGGCTCAGTGTACTGCACCACCAAGCGCCTGCAGGCACGTGCGGGGCAGACAGCCGGAAGTTCTGTTCAGATGCCTTGGCCGATGGACGTTCTCGGACCCATCCCAAGGGCGCCTCCAGACGCGACACAGATTGTCAGGAGTCCCCCAAGGTCTAGTAATCTCACGGCGTGCGGCAAGTACTGTAATGGGCCGCAAGATTGTAGCTCCTGGAATTCCGACAATGATTGCTTCTGCGGCATACCTTCGGCTCAGGATGCGAGGTCGCTGGGCCTGGATGTCGTTGCGCCGGTTGCTGTTTGTTTGGTGCTTCAGGCTATTAGGAGCTCTACATCCAGTGGATGGCTCGGAAGGCGGGGTGATTCGCGATACATGGATGAGCCGGGCGTGCCTTACCAATGTCCTTGCAACGTCTCATTTCTATCGGTTGATTGCTGTGGCTCGACAGACGGATTGATAACTATCCCCAGCTAGCATCTCGTCACACTGGGGCTCAGATAATGGACGATCGATAGACGAAGAAATTGTTGCCGTAGCTAAGGGCGAAGGGTTTTGCGAACGGTGAACAAGGCCAAGAACGTGCTCTTGGGTTCGTGAAAACGGCGAAAACCCCCGGAAACCATAGCCAGAGTTTTAAACTTCTGTGCAGCGCTTGAGACTTACAATCCGATAACTATTATTCGTCAAATTACCAGTAATTCGCCCTCAAACGAGAGAAGAGCAAAATGATCATCTAAACAGCGCGACTGCAATCACCCCGGTTCTTTTCGTTTCACCACATGAATTTCTACTTATGCTCGTTTCACGTTCCGTAGCGCATGTCTCGCCAGGCGGCTTTTCCAAAAAACTAATCGTACAAGCGGTCGTGGGATAATCATGTCAGGCGCGAAACACATGGCCTTGAGAGCATGTTGGTTGCACGTGTGAGAGTGTGCAATAGTTCCTTGGCAATGAGAGGATGCATTCTTCAGTACGGCATTGAAAAGCTTTGCAGGTGCAAGCTTTGGAAGTTTGTTGTGCGCTAAGATTCGATCGCATATGAACCGCAGATGAAGGTGATAGCCTCGCGCAGCTCGGATATTCGGGGATACTCGCATAGAACGTACTCGAAGATACACTCGATCGCGTCTATGCTAATACAAGCTGTGGGAGTTCAATCACGCCGCGCTGAATCTCCTGAATCTTAGAGTACCTAATGTCATCAATTGTCACCTCGGTTCGCTGTCAGGCTGTCGTTCCTACCAAGCACTATCTGTGGACGGCATACCACGAGACGATATGTGCGAAAGGTCGCGGACATTCATTCTCGCACCCGCTCTACTCTTTGCCTTGTTCCTCCCGCGCTCTTCCGCAGCCATCGTTTGCGACGCCTCCCTCTACGGCAACCCAAACCCTTACAACTGCTCACAAATCCTCATTGAAGGCCATGCTAATAAAACTTTCCAAGGCTTGTTAAGCACGGATCGAGAGCGTCATCTATTTTATACCGGGGACCTTGACCGACGACCGTCAGACGTCACCTTAACGGAGTGGTTCAACAGAATACACACGGCCGCCACGGTTTATAACAGAGGCGAGTCGGAGGCGGAGATACTTTGCGAGCGCACTGAACTGACCACAGTTTAATTTAGATGGCTGCAGCATCTACCTGGCGCCCGGATATGACGCCAATGGGAATTTCTTGTATGATACAGGGACGTATCCTAGTCTCGCACAGCAAGCAACCCATCTCCAGAATTATTGCTCACATGTCCCCACGCCCGACGAGCATCAGGCTCCTAGCATGGAAGGTGGTCAGGGCTGGATCGGTAAGATTATCACGGTTGTGCGTTGAAGATGCAACAAGCTGACTCCTATCTCCATTTCTCTAGGCGACAAAGGCCGGCTCCTCGCTGTCATTTACTCGAATACGTCCGCGTTCGCTACTACGTTTGCAGAAAGCGTAGCGAAAGGGATTCCGCCCAACTTGGAGGGAATATCGGCACATAATCCGCCAAATATTCCAAAGCCCGGACCCATCTGCGGAAGATCTCATTTCTGCTCAAAGGCGAGCCACTGCGGGGGTGATGTCAGCTGTATATGCGTCGCAGACAAGTGGCATGGAGAGTTTTTCTCCAGCTCGTGCAAACAGCCACGCCCCAGCTTTGGGATAAGGCGGGGAACTCTTGAGGTCGACTCGACCAACGTCACTCAGTCGTTTTACATCATCAATGCCACCCTCACAGGAGAGGGTTCGACGGATCCAGCTTGCCCTTGTAATTGTACATATGTCTCGAAATCTTGCTGCAACTCGCCTTCGGGAATTGTGTACGAGGCGCTCGGTTTGAAATTGGGTTCTCTTCAGGCTCCGTCGCTGAATCTGACTTGCAATGCAACGACGGGTGGATTCCAGGCTTCGAACTTGACGCTCGATGTGAGGTTGACACCGAGAGAATTGGGTCCCAAGCGCAGCGAGGCAGATGCGCTAGGCTCTTTGACGACGGATCCTATCGGCACGCAAGATATATACCGATAGAGCGTGTCATTTCCGTGGTGGGGATGGTTTTACCTATGGAGAGACCAACTTCGAATCAGTCTCGGTTTCAAAGGGACGAGTGGTGGGAAGAAGGGTTTCCTCTTCTTCTGTCGCCCTAACGCTGCCAAGATATATTGAAAGAATGCAATGCTTCATTTGTGAGCCGTAGATGGCTGGACTGGTGTACGGTAGCGGTGGAGGTGCTGGTCGTGGAACGCGGCAGAAGAATGGTGAAAGCTTGGTGGCGACGGTGGTGGAGAGTCATGCAGAATCTTTGGTGAACGTAGCTTATCCTTCAATTTCATTTCGCAATCGTTGCCAGCGAGTAGAACACATGGTACCAGTATTTACAGAATACTTTGATGGTGGGAGAACATCGTGCTTGTCTGAGTCCTAGAAGCCTTTGGGACTTGTTTTGTGTATGAGGCCTGCGTCGCTATTACGCAAATCGGGCCCAACAAGGCCAACAGCTACGTAGAACTGGCGTGGCGTGCGGAGCAAGCTATGTGAAATGAGGGTTTCGAGAGGACTTTGTGGGGCTTTTGCAGTTGGGTACAAGAAGGAACTGGCAGCCAGCTCGTGGACAGCAGCAGTATTCGTCAATCGCGTGCCTTCAACGAGCACATTGCCAGATGATTTGCACCCAGTAGAGACAGATCCATCACTTCCCTACTGCAGATTATAGCTCCCCAGAATATTGTAAGACCTGTGAGCAGATGGTCAAAGCGGATAAGGTTGAGCCACACATTCACCATTCCCAGCGGCATCCACTCATGTGCTGAAGACAGCTGGTGGACAGTTTCAAGATACTCTGAACAGGCAGGCAAAGCGTGGGATGATATGAAGTTCAGAGTGTTGCAAGGGTTCCAGTGCTGAACATTGGACGCTCATACCAAAGTATGCTGTATGCTGTGCATACCGTGTCGGATGAGAGGCGCGCGCGTCGAATTGCCGAACTTTAGCCGAGGCGTTCGTCACTCGCCAGCGTTGTCTGAGAGTACACAAGTCTGTATTTCCCGTTTCGAACACTTGTAGCGGCCTTGATTTAGATGGCACTATCATCAGCATCACCATTGCGATAGGAAATCCCCCACATCCTATCCTCACATCTCTCGAATACAAGCACACCCCACGCTGCTGGGGCGCCCGCTACCTCCGTGGATGAACCAGTTGCAATGATCACCCATGGGCTACACAAGGAGAAGAAAGAGTCTGGGCGAATATCACGGTAAAAGCCCAGGGCAGGGCGATGAATACGCCAATGGTCCCTCCAGCACTGGGTGATATTGGCATGATCGAGCTGCTCGAATGCGATCCAAGGCCGACATTCATCCTTGACCTCGAGCGCACCCAGGATCCCTCTGATGAGTGTCTACACACAGTCTTCTCTAATGCATCCCTTCAGCGCCTTCCCCGCATATCAAATCCGGTGCAAGTGAGCAGAGACCTTACGGCGGACGATGATGAGCTAGGGACATACTCGCAGTTCAAGGATTGGGCAACTAGCCTCCCCACGTATGTCCACACAACGGACGACCTTCCACCTCCATTCGAGTATCAGAGTCTGTTGTGGACCGGCTCAACACTGAAGAAGAGATGGCTCATAATTAGCGGTTCCGCAATTGGTTTCAAAGACACTTCCGCCGGCTCGTTCCCAAGTCCTCCTGCTGGGTCGCAGAGGAAAGCTCACGGCATGAGTACCGGTTCAAGGGGTCTCCCGGCAAGAAAAGAGAGTGGGAAGCTTCAGGCAGGCATGCATCCTACATGGGTCGACGACCTGCCAATAAGCGAACACGTTCAGTTTTTCAAGAGCACGGATTGGTCGTCTACGGCACTGGGGCCTTTGGACACTTGGTCTGGCTGTCTTAGACAGATGACGCGCCTCCTGATGTCCGACTCCCGCGCTGCCTGCATATTTTGGTACGAGCCCACGATCCAATGACCGCATGAACGCTGCTGAATAGTCTGCCAGGGGCCCACAGCGGGCAGTGTTGTACAATGAAGCATACACCGCTGTGGCGAGTAGGAAGCATCCGGGATTGATGGGCGCGACCTTGGAAACAGCTTGGGCCGAAATCGCCAAGGATCTCGAACCAGTCTTCCTTACCGCCGAGCGACTGGGACGCGCAACGTCTATGGAGGACACCCCTTTCTGCCTCCAAAGACATGGCTATCTTGAGGAGACCTTTTTTTCCTACAATTTAATACCTGTTCGAGCCGAAGATGGAAAGACCGAAGGGTTCTATAATGCCGCTTTTGAGACGACAAAGCAGAATATATGGGAACGCAGGACATCTACGTGAGATCAGGATGACCCATGGTCTCTTGGGCACTACCGTTAATCCTCAATAGCCTCCTCTCCATCGTTAGGGTCCCTGATATGGCTTCATACTGGCGCGAAGTCTTGAAAGGATTTGAACCCAACGAGCGCGATATACCATTGGCCGTGATCTATTCTCTTGAGAGTGATATGCATGACGAGGCGCCAACTCCGATAATACATCTACAGGCGACTCTAGGTGTAGTGGAAGGCCATCCACTGGCACTGAAGCGCGCGGACCTGATCCAAGGTAGCGAGACGATTCTACCACTTCTGAGGAAGACCTTCTCTGCCAACAGTCCAACGGTCTTCCAGCGAGATGATGGGAGCCTGCCCGGATCATTGCTCCAAGAGATCGAGTGGCGAGGCTTTGGCGAACCGTCTAATACTCTCGCTGTCCTACCTCTTACAGCTGGAGAAGAAATTTTAGGGTTTCTGCTGATGGGGCTGAATCCACGAAGACCGTACGATGAGGACTATGCCGGATTCGTACAGCTGCTGAATCGGCAACTTTCAACGTCTCTGGCATCGGCCGCGCTGATGGAGCAGGCTAGACGCAAGCAGGCTGAGCTGTCCAAAGACTTGGCCGAGGGGGAATCCCGGTTCAAAACTTTGACTGAGCTCAATGCTGGGGGGTTGTCTCCCACCAATCATCGTCATGGTTAGATGAAACTGACAGCCCTCTAGCCTATTCCTCATTAGCCCTCGTGGGGAAGTTCTGTACGCAAATGATACATGTACGTCACTCTCTGCTTTTTGTCGATTGTAACTGACTTGATGCAGGGGTAAGACTTTTATTGAAAGACAATGGTTCCACATCTTTGAGTAATGCTGAATTACCTACAGTACAGCATGACAGGGCTCTCCAGAGATGAGCATTCAGAGATGTAGGTCGTGCTCCATGGTCTTGATTCAACTTCCGAGATCGATCAGCTTTGTATTGTTGCTCTCAACAAAGACTTCCTCTTACTGACCATACTCGTTAACGGCGTAGGGCGTTCATGGGTATCATCATGGAAGATGACCGTCCATACGTGGAACAAGAATGGTACAATTTGAGCGAGCTAAGACTAAAGCGCACCTTTGAGGTGCGGCTCACACACAAGTGGCTCCACAAGGAAAGCGGCACGTGGAAGTACAAATGGATTCTGGCTTCCTGCGGCCACGACGAGAACGAAGATGGATCTCTCAAAAGCGTAATGGGAAGTATTACTGATATCAGTCTTCTGAAACAAGCCCAAGAAGACGCTTTAGAGCGCGCAACGCTTTCCGAAAAGCTCGCTCAGTCGCAAAAAGATGCGAACGAGATACAAGTACGTAGCAGGATAGAGGCAGAAGAGGCGAGAAAGAGCATGGAAAAGTTCATGGACATCACAAGCCATGAGATGCGTAATCCCTTGAGCGCTATCCTTCAGAGCGCGGATGGAATTGCCGCTTCACTTATAGAATTCCAAGCCTCATCGAAGACGCCAATTTTCTCGAACGAGCTTGTAGAAAGCAATCTCGAGGCCATCCAAATTATAAGCGTTTGTCATTACCGCTTGCACTGTTGGAGACATCCAGCTGACTTACATGACCAACAGCTCTGCGCACAACACCAAGGACGGATCATCAATGATGTTTTGACGCTTTCGAAACTCGACTCGGCAATGTTACTAGTATCACCAACCCCAACACAGCCTCCAGTCGTTGTCAAAGGAGCATTGAAGATGTTCGAAGGGGAGCTTGTGTCCCATGGCATCGAGCTTGAATTCTCTTTTGAGGAATCGTACAAGCGCTTCGGGATTGACTGGGTGATGATCGATCCGTCTAGGGTAACGCAAATCCTCGTCAACCTCTTGACTAACGCCATCAAATTTACGCGATTGCGAGAGAAGCGCGAGATAAAGGTGTCAATTGGAGGGTCAGTGGAGAAGCCTCCTATCATTGAACAAGTCAAATTCGAGTGGTTTCCATCCAGAGGTATTGGTTCGAAGAAAGACTTGACACTCGATCGTGAATGGGGCGAGAATAAGCCCGTCTTTGTTTACTTCGCTGTAGAAGACACAGGCCAAGGCTTGAGCAGCGAAGAGAAAACCCGGCTGTTCCATCGTTTCGCGGTATTCCTACTCTTGTAAGATCGAACGAGCCCCGAGCTAACGGTGATGTAGCAAGCGAACCCACGCACTCACGTGAAGTACGGAGGTTCGGGACTCGGTCTTTTTATTTCGCGCGAGCTTACAGAACTGCATGGTGGCGAAATTGGTCTTTACTCTGAGGCCGGAAAGGGTAGTAAGTAACTTGCACTTTCAATGAGACTGAGTTCCTGGGCTGAACATGTCTCAGGCACCTTTGCATTCTACGTCAAAGGAAGAAGAGCATCACCACCAGCCGAGAAAGCGATGCAGCAGCTTGAGACCCAGTCTGCAGACTGTCGAACAGCTTCGCCGATCAAAGCTCAAAGATCGCAGACAAACGTGCCAACTAAGCTAGCAAGTCTGTCTATAACACAGAGTAGCCAGAGCAAGGGAGAGTCGGAGAGTTTTCAAGTCTTGCTTGTCGAGGATAATCTGGTCAACCGTGGGTGTTTTCAAACCTTTCAAGCCATTGGCACTGACTTTGGATTAGAGAAAGTTCTTTGTAAACAGCTACAGAAAGTGGGATGTACCGTGCACGTCGCGAACCATGGGCAAGAAGCACTAGACTTCATGCAAAGTTCCAATCTGTGGACAAATAACCCTGGTGGCAAAGCTGTTGATGTTGTCCTCATGGATCTTGAGATGCCAGTAATGGACGGACTTACGTGCGCCCGACGTATCAGGGAGTTGGAGGGCAAGGGTACCTTGATCAGACACGTCCCGCTCATTGCCGTGACGGCCAATGCACGTAAGGAGCAGATCGAGACTTCACTGGGTGCGGGAATGGTAAGTTGCCAGTCGGGTCTTCAGCGATGCAAGACCATTGCGCATTAATTTGGCAAATCTGACTCGAGGACAGGACGATGTTATGCCGAAGCCTTTCCGAGTATCGGAGCTGCTTACCAAGATGAAAGCGCTAAAGCTGCCGGAATAAATGTTAGAATAGATGGAAGGTCTCTTATCATCGGACCTCTCTGCGGCTCCAGAACCGATGTCAGGAGACACATGATCACCGCCTTCTCCAGCTCAGACAGTATCTCCCGCTTCGTAATAGACATTCATTAATACTCTTATATGCAAAGGATTCGCCGCAACCCGATGGATCAGTGTGCTTGAGCAGGCCTATTTTTAGCCAGCGCTATGAATAGTGGTTTGCGTTAGATTGTTGTGAGGGGGAAAACGGCCAGCTCGTATTTTAAATACCCGAAGCCAACCAGTATGCTAATGTAGATGCTGAAGGGGGGCCGGGACACTAGAGTCGAGACTCGATAAGGAGCTGGACAATTTTACCGACAGTACTCAAGTGCTGATAGATCATGGAATGATAACAGGAAGCGTTTGAGATGGATGTTGCGTGCAGGCGAGCCACACTTCATTCTCGCAGCCTCTTCCGTATTTACTACTTTCGGTATTTCCTCCACAAGACCTCTGATGCTTCAGCTCACCTCTCCAACTTCTTTGGCGTCGTAACCCCCAAACTGACCAGTCCCATCAATCATACAGCATTCTTGTTCGTATCCTCCGGCTCAAGCCATCCCACACTAAGCTGCTCTGCCTGCGCTCCCTGTGTCTCCCAAAGTTCAAACCGCGCCACACACCGATACCCCCCCATCAAGAATTCCCCCAACTCCCCCAACATCCTATGCGCCATCGCATACGTCAACCGCCCCGTCAGATTGTCGAGGTAGATTTCTGCCCCATATGCATCCAGGCTCAACGCCCCCGCGTCCAAATCCTCCCCTTGCCGCTCGAAGTACTGCGCAATCAGGGACGTTTGGAGGGAGATGATGGCGGCGAAATAGTTGCGTTCGGGGAACAAGTGCCGGTATTGGGTGAAGTGGATGTCGTGCGTGGCGTCGATTTTGATCACGATTCGGGGTGGATCGAAACTGATGGTGCTGTTTGGGTTCGGGAGGTTCGGGAGGACCGGGTGCGAGATGCTGGCGAGGGTCGGTGGTGTAGCCGCTGATGTGGCTGGAGTAAAGGTGGAAAAGATCGTTAGGAGCGAGAGAGCGAGACGTTGGATGGTGCGCTGGTGGGACATTGTGACGGGAAATGGTGAGAATGGAGGAATCTGCTAGAAGAATCACTTCCATCGTCGTTCTTTAAATGCTCGCTAGAAAATTGTCAAAGCTGTTCTTTGGGCCTACGCTCGGGCTTTCGAACGTTTTTTCCCTCCTGTTCTTTTGTTTTCGACAAACGTGCTCTGCAAATCCAATCATGTTTCGCGATTGGCGATCTGCGCTACATCTTAAGTAGTTTCAGACGTCGCGCGCGTTGGGAGAGATGTGCCATGACCTCAAAGTGAGATTCATAGCCGCGCGCGGTGGCGCCGGGTCCACATATAAAAGAGTTCTAGATCGTATCGCACCTATAGACAACTAGCTTAAGCACCTCTCGTGCAGCGCTGAATAGGACTTCGGCTGTCGCGTTAATGCGGGTCATCTGCTAAGCCAGAAAAGTTTGTTGTTGGGTTTGTAGTGTCCATGTCCGAGCAAATCTCCGGTTACATTGTCCCCGCCGCCGTTTCAAGGCTCCGAATAGTGCGTCCCAGATTTCTAGACGATTAACTAGGATGTTGTCTGCACGGGTCCGAGGCTACACGCGAATGATCTGAACTGGACTGTGGTGTGCGGACTAATAGTATGAAGTTTAAGTGTGACATTGAATCATTGATGATATTGCTTGTTCATGTTCACTTTTAATATTTTCACTTCAACGCTGCGGTAACCGTAGCCAGTAGCAATTACGAAGATTTTTCCAGTTTATGGAACTGAACGAACGCTAATTTTCTTCCAGGGTCTTACTGACTGCAGTAGTATTTTGATGCTGGTCCCCCAAATTGGCTGAACCATTGGCCCGGATTAGGTCAGACGGAAGATGGATTACGGATTGCGTGAATGAATTTCAATTTAACTATTCAGGGTCTGTCTTGAGGCTGAGTGATTCGGGGCATTATTGGAAGCTTTCGCCACTATTACTACCTCCTCTGCCTCCATCGACTTCACTGCTGTGACTGGAAGTAGTACACAGTGCCATCAAGAATGCCTTCAAGGATATGCTTGGGAAGACTAGGAAACAGCTGTGCCAAGCCAACGTCCATTCTTAGATAAGTTTCTTCCGGATAGTGATCGTGGAACACATATGTGTAGAAAGGCGTCCACGTCCAGGGAAACGGAAAGGCTTGCTCGGGGAATGACTCCTTCGTCAGATGTTTGTTCAAAAAATGTAGAGACCACCACCGTTGACTTCCCACAAGAGCAATATACGGGCGTAGATCGTCGTTATGAAGTGTGATGCTCTTCAATGTGGCTTTCTTTTTCTGACTATGATATTCCAGCCAGTGCAGTACGTCCATCATTTGGGAAAACCCTAAGAAATCCATGGATACCAGACGACCATATGGGAGAGGCTCGAAGTCTTTTACTAACGTTACTATTGTCATAAGCCGGTACCACGCTTTCACAAAGTATGTTCGCTCCGCCGTTGTCATACCGCGGTCATCAAATTTCCCCTTAGCATGATCAATGACACTCCGTTCGTAGCGAGAGGAAGCAAGCCACGCGATAGCGGCATTTGAGAAAAAGAGCTCCGCGCGGCCTATGATTGCCTGGTTTGCATCAGACGGCTGCTGATTTTGTGCAGAGTGAGACTGAGCTTCCATGAGACCTTGAGCTTCATCGAAACAGTCGACAGCGCGGGGAAGTACTGCTCTGCAGATGGACGGGAGATCTTGCTTCCAGATGGCGAAGAGGTTGCGTGAAACGTTGCTCAGAGCGGCAGCGGTAGAAAAATCATGGACGGATTTGAAGACTTGAATGATGATTTCTGCCGGCAGGTCTGAGAACGACAATTTAGGTGCGGCGGGCGTACCTGCGCGTTGGTTGTTGCACTGATTTAGTGTTCTCCGCTTTTTCAAAAGTCGTAATCTGGAAGAGCGTCGCCGTGCAGAATGTGTCGCAGGTGTAGGGGTCTTTCTCGTTCTCGCCATCTTTCATGTAGAAAAGCCAATTGTCTTTGTAGAGAGGAAGAAGGTTTCCAAGGTATGTATGATATCTGGATCAGTCAATCTAAAATCTTTTAAAGCTTCTGTGAAAGGAAGTGTTGAGCTTGAGCCATCACACAGGATATTACCAACACTATCACGAGCTTGAAGCTGACAAATACATACTATTAACACTGGGGAGAGATCGACAGACATCCTCTATTCCCTTAGCCGTATGCCCCCCCACCCAGATCGGGCTCAGTCTGTTTAACATTGGGTACATGTTGCAGGTGCGGCTGGCCCTTTTAAAACTATAATGCTACCTACAGATCGCCCCCATGGACAGGATCACCCGCGCCTTCAGGGGCCCCTACGCTTGCATACTCCCTCCTACACTCTATCCGTACGTCGGCAAGATGGCTATGGTTGCGTCTTGCAGCAAGAATGAGACAACACGGAAAGTGCACATCCTTTATCAAGGGGACGCTCGCCGGGATTCTTTTCAGGAACGATGATTTGTGAATCGAGAGAATAGACTCGAAATGGCGGTGAAGCCCTTGTTCGCAAGCCACGAGAAGAGGTGCGAAAATGTTGCGTGCAGGCGAGTCATGCTGGCCGCCCATGGGCGCGCAAGAGAAGCGTTTGCATCTAAATCCTGTCAATGCGAGACTTGGCTGCAGGGCTGTAGTAGGTTTGCTCTTACCTGGTTCGTCGATCAATTTGATGAGACGCTGGACGGCCGGGTCTTCATTACCCCAATCCGTTCTTTTTGCGCGAGTTGTAAGCCAGAATGGATATTCGAAGTCGGACGGGTAGAATCCAGAAAACTCCCAGTCTATTATTGAAGCAACTTGCAGGGTTTCTGGGTTGACCACTATGTTGTGCTGTGCAAGATCATTGTGGCAATAAACGTAGTCTTTGGTAGCCGACTTTCTCGATCGATAATGAGCCCGTCTCGCTCTAGTTTGTAATCTGTATGGGGGAATGATATTGCCGCGCACGGAACCAAGTGTGCTGGATCTCAATTGATGGAGCTGAGGGAGAACCGTGTCATTGATGTACAGGAAAACATTGCTAGTGAGTCTTTCCCGGTCTTTTTCATTGAGTGTCACAACCAAATCATCCATGAGCTCCCCGTGCACGGCTTCCATTGTGATGCTAGCAACACCACCTTCGAGCGAGAAATGGAGAAACTTTGGGACGTGGATGGTCGTATTCTGAGAGATAAAGATCAAGGCATCTCTCTCGTTCTCGAGCAGTTCGCGCGACCAAGGTACAGTAATGAGCTCGCCCTTGCAGTTCGTGTATCTTTCCTGTTGGCGCAGCTGTCGCTTGGTGAATGTCGTGGAGGTCAGAGTGTAATGTCTATCGGCTGGGATCTCCCATTCGTCGAAATCCCCGCCAGGTTTCGTTATATGCGTGACTTCGGCCATGGTGAGAAGAAGAAAAGATGATGAAGAGGAGATGAAACGAGGAGAAGAGGAAGAAGCAGCAAATCTAGCGCAGATGACTAATCATGCCCTACTTTCACTACTGGTTTCCACTCCTATTTGCACGTTACCCCCATTTACACGCTCTTAAATTTAATAAATTCGATATAGATAATTACTACTATTATAGCTACTAATATTATTTATTTAAATAATCTAATAAATTTATTCTATTATAATAACTTATATTAATATATACTAGAGCGCGGGCTTTTTAATAGTAAAAAGCTTATCGAGTACTAATTTTTAACTATTTAATTCTTAAAGAGACTCTCTAAAACCTCTTAAACCTTTCGAGAACTCTTTAAGAGCTCTTCGAGAGCTTCTATCGAGGGGCTATCGAAGTAAACTTAAAATTTAATTATTTTAATAATATTTAATTAATTTTAAGTTTACTTTAATAGCCTCTCGATAGAAGCTCTCGAAGAGCTCTTAAAGAGCTTTAAAGAATCTTAGAGA